AGCTTTAAATAACCTAATTTTGGCACCTAAAAATTGCACAAGTGCTTGTAAGGCATTTACATATAAATACAAATTCGAATAAATACGTAATTCAGGATCTCAAATTCCTTTCTGTTGGTTAACTCTTCCAACAGGGTAAGGAAATTCGTTACTTTACATGCGCAGCATTTTCGAATTCTTACTTAAAACATCAATTGCCTTCCAAATAAAAATTTATGCAAGCAAAGACCTTAATCATTTTTCGTCTAAACTTTTATTGTAAGCGAAATTCCACGCTTCAATTACATAAGTCTTTAAAAAGAATTTATTATGAGCCTGCAGGTGATTTTCAAACTTAACAAGCTGCTCTGTAAATTTACATAAAAATCCAAAAGTTGCCCTTTTTACGAACCCTCGCCACCCCCCAACCCTCCCCCCCCAAAATGAGTAAAATAAAAAACAACAGACGGCCCACTTCTTAATTGAGCTCTGTATCACCGGCAACATTTGGCACAAAAACGCTCATTCCCTACCCGCTGTACCGTATGGTCCCTTATAGTTGACCCACAGGGAATTGTAGAAGGACTGTTACTTACCGCTCGACCTGTTTGCAAACCACTTAGGAATATGTTTTTGAAGTTTCACTCGCTTACACACAAAGAAGATATTTGTGCATATGACACGGTCATGGCTGGTAGCCGCCGACCTGTCGCTTTTGCTGTCATCGAAGCGTCCCAAAAGGCTGACACGTATTTTACATAAGCAAACAAAGTTTTCCATACGCTGTTCTATGTACATTAGCGTGGGCCGAAAATCCGTTTTTTAGAGTTCTGGTTTGGTAATAGCAAAAATATGGTTCATTATGTTCTAAAAAATCTGCGTGAAACATGACAATCTTTGTTCAATGTCATTATTATAAATAATATAAAAATTAATAATTAATAACGTGCAATTATCTTCGAAAGCATAAGGTCCGACATAATTTGGTATATGAATATTTTTTGTAGAGAATCGAAGTAAGTTAAGAAAATTTTTTTAGCGCTTGAACTTTGATGCACTTGGGCGAGCCTAAGATATTGACCACAAATTGTCATCCTTCACACAGATTATTTGTAGAGAATAATTAGCTATAATCAAAATTCTAAAAAAGCGGATTTTCGGCCCACGCTTATGTAAATGTTATGTACTATGTATGCAAGCATTAGAAATATGTCAAACAAACATGCAAATAAATATATTTCATAGTCGTATGTATAGGTGCATAAAACTTTGTCGTCAAACATTGTGCATTCTCCCCCCCCCCCCCCCCCCCCCCCCCCCCCCCCCCCCCCCCCCCCCCCCCCCCCCCCCCCCCCCCCCCCCCCCCCCCCCCCCCCCCCCCCCCCCCCC